TCCCACCGGCAGTCATATCTCCCAGGCCGGTCCGGCCGGTGGGGTCGACCGTGGTAGTGGAGGGAATCTCCGGCGAGATACGGCGGCTCCCGGCCGCGATGGGGGCGGCGGAGGTGGAGGAAGTGGTGGAGGCGGAGGTTTTGCCGGCAATTGTGTCGGACTCGAGCAACAAGGTGAGGATTTGCAACGCGGCGTACAAGGAGCTGGTGGGGCAGCCGGAGTGTGGGTGGCTGGAGAGGGCCGGCGGCGGCGCGTGCAGGAGGATCGGCGGAGGGATCTGGCTGCGGTGTAATGTGGAGAGGTGGTTGCATGGGTTCAGTGGGTGGGTGAGGATTGAGTGGGAGAGGGATGGGTTGAAGAGGTGCGTTAGGGCTTCGTGCGAGGCTCTCAAATTGGAGTGTGTGGCTAAGGACTATCAGTTTCTGTGGAGATTTTATGGGCTCAAATCCGGTACGGAGGAGGATGGGCCGTCTGCCGACCAATTAGCAATTTAGTGGAAAATTACATACTTTTATGTAGTTTCTAATATAGGGAAATGTTGCTACAGTCCATTAAGGAATTATTCGGTCGGGATATATATCCGTTAAAAGCATCATGTAATCGTCACGGGTAGTTAATCCAACGGTTACAAACTCCGACAGAATGGTTCCGTAACAAGTCGTCCTCCTCTAATGTAATGTATACTTTTATTTATCTTTTTTTCTTTCTACTTTTTTTTTTTTCTTCAGGTTATATTGTATTTGTATATATAGATAATGAGGGAAATTATGTGTTCAATAACTTTTAACGTTTATCCGAATATATATCAGACTATTATATATTCGGTTCAAAATAATGAAAAGAAAGCACATTTTAGGCCTGGATTTGCGATTTCTGGAAATTAAAGCAGTGTATTCGTTTTAGGGTTGGTAGCTGTTATTAGACATGTCCACAAGGCTGTTGACCAAGGGTCATGAGCAGATTCGTGGTTTTACCCGGATTGGTTAACGTTCATGATTTTTCATCTTAGTCTGTAAATTAAAAAATTGAATTTTATTTTTAATTCTTTATTATTATTATTTTTTTTCAATTTGTAGGTGAGCCAGGCAGGTCGGTTCAGAACCAACAACTCGTATATATACCCAGGCCGGTTTCGATTCACATAAAATGTGATATGTACTGGCGGCTCGACCCGAAATTAGGCGGGAATTGGCATTTGGCCACCTCTAGTTATACATTTATGTAGAGCTGTCAATTTGGTCCGTGGCCTGCGGGCCGGCTCGTTCCGCCCCACAAAAGGGGTGGGTTGGGCTGGGATTTTTTAGGCCTGCTCTAAATGGGCTAGCTCGTGCGGATTTGTATAGATTTTATACAATATAGTGAAATTTCAAAAATTTTGCGTGGCGGGGCGGGTTGGGCTGTGATTCTAGCGGGCCTAAACGGGCCAGCCCGTGTGAATTTTTATGGATTTTATAAGATATAGTGAAATTTCATTTCAAAAATAAATATAAGTATGAAATTTCATGTATAAACTTTTGCAATAATTATAATTAAATAAAAGAACTTATAACTTTTTCATATTTTGAAAGTGCTAAAATATCACATCTCAAACAAATATACAACGATGTTTAGACCATTTCTAGTCTTTATTTCTACTATAGTGCAGAGTTTACTCCAACCGTTCGCGCTACATTCTACTTTACATATATTATCCATATTATTTTAATTTATTTAATATGTAAAAATATTATTTAATTGGACATATTATTTTGTATAATAAAATATATCATGATATTAGTTGGATTTTAAATTTAATGGTAAAAAACTTTTTTTAAATAACAAAAAAAAAATTGTAGAGTAATGAACAGGGGCGTAGCTAGAAAAAAAAATCATACTGGGCTATGAGACACTAACATTTATTTGACCTGGGCTAGTAAGTAAAAAATGGGTTAATTTTTTTTTTTTTTTAATTTTTAGAACCAGACTGGGCTGGAGCTCACCCCAGCCTTTGGGGTGGCTCCGCCCCTGGTAATGAATAATACCGCGCGCGATATTTTTTCATAACTCTAGAGTAGTGTAGCGCAGCATTAGAGAACAATTTTTCTCTACTCTACCGTAGCGCAGTACTGAAGATGCTATAATACATGTAGTCGCATGCGATAAAAAATCTCTCTACTCTCGCTACCGAGTAAATCAAAGATAAGTGTCAGCATATTGTGTGGGAAGGATGAGTGTGCAATGTGTAAGCCCATCAGTCCAAAAACGAAATTAGTAAGTACCCAGGCCTGACAAAAATAAGGCCCATATCTATTCTTCATCATTTATCAGATGTGAAAATTCTCATTAACGGTCTTACACAAAGGTAAATTGAATTCCATTCCATGTTGCACTAATTTTCCATTTGACAGAATTTGGCCCGATAGGTAGGTTAAAAATATAAATATGATTAAAAAAAAATAGATATTAAAAATGACTTACAAAAGTCTTGCTTTCGTTGATAGTCGAACTCAAGACCTCCCGCATACTAAACGGAATAGATATTGAAAATGACTTATCAAAGTCTTGCTTTCATTGAGAGTCGAACTCAAGACCTCCCGCTTACTAAACGGGTGCTCTAACCAACTGAGCTACGAAAGCGATTGGTTCAATTGTGATAGAATTTTTGAAACTAACCTATATTCAATACACTGCAGGTAAAACCCAATTATTTTATTGGTATGCAGGTAGAATATATTATAAAAAAAAAATATACGTTGAAGTATTAAATGCTATGTTATGTCAACCTCCGAGGCCCAGTTGAGCTGTTCTTCTGTATGTATAAAAGGACAAAGAATCGTGCACCTTATTTATATATATATTTGTTACACACATTTGCTTGACTTTTTTTTTTATTATTATTATTTTAATTTGATTCTTTTTTAGATTGGGGACGATATTTATTGTTTCTCTCCCCTGTAGTTTACAACAAGAAATAGATCAATATATTCTCAATATATTAGTAGTGTGTTGATTTTAAATAATATCTTTTTTCGTGCATCTTTCGTTTATTACTGATGATACAAAAATTACTTGACGTTGTTGGAATAGCATCGTCAGAGGTGCCATGTCATCAAAACTCTTTGTCACATCCTCAGCCGTCACGTTACATGGCCATACACGGCTCTTAGTAATTTAAGTGTTTTGTTCCTTATGGATTCTCTTTTCATGTTTATCTTTTGCTTTCTAGAGAGATCTAATCTAGGTTATATATGTACGCCATTGTTTTCTTTTTATCTGCAATGAATAAGATGCAACTGTTATTAATGAAACAATTCTGCAGTTTTCGTTTTTCTTATTTTTCCTAACATGGTATCAGAGCGGGTTTTGTAAACCTGTCTCTGGTTCATGAAGGAATAACCATTCCCAGTTATCTTTCCAATATCTCACCCTTTCTCCTTTCATTATGTCTACCACAAGTGACTCAACATCTGCCCCACAGTTATCTGTCATTCAGCCACAAAGCCAAATCCTTGCTACAAAACTTACAGAAACTAATTACCTCGTTTGGAAACAACAATTGATCACTGCTATTCGAGGATATGGACTTGAGGGTTTTATCACTGGACAAAAGGCAGCTCCTAGCAAATTCACTGTTGCCACAAATACTCAAGGAACTTCAACCCCTAGCCCAAATCCTGAGTATGAAACTTGGCACAAGCAGGATCAGTTGTTGGCCTCTTGGATTTTATCCTCTTTATCTGAAAACCTTCTAGTTCTCATGGTCGGTTTGGAAAGCTCAAAAGATATGTGGGATGCTCTCTCCACCAACTTTGCCAGTCAATCACAAGCAAGGAAGATGCAATACAAAATGGAACTGCAATCCCTTAAGAAGGGTTCAATGAGCATGAGAGAGTTCCTTGGAAAAATCAAATCCTGTTGTGATGTTTTGGCCTCAATTGGTGAAAGAATATCTGAAGAAGACCAGATCTTACATATATTCTCAGGTTTAGGTCAAGAGTATAATCCAGTTATGATCTCTTTAACATCAAGATTGGACCCCTACTCAGTGAGAGATGTTCATGCCCTCTTACTTAGCTATGAAGCCAGATTGGAATCCTTCTCTCCCATTGCATCTGTGAACTCAGAAGGCTCAAATCCTAGTGCCAATGTTACTGTCCAGTCCACACCTCAACATGACAAGGGATTTTTTAATTACCAAGGAGGAAGAGGAAGGTCAAGTGGAAGCAATAGAGGTAGAAATGGAAGAGGTAGAGGTTTTTATAGAGGAAGAGGGGGCAAAAATGGAAATGGCCCAAGATTTGTGTGCCAAGTTTGTAACAAAGGTGGTCATACAGCAGATAGGTGCTACTACAGATATGATAACAGCTACAATAGTTCTCAACCTCCAAGGGATCTTAATCCTCAGAGCCAAGCTCTTTATGCAGGAAGCACCTCAGGGAGTTCAAGCTGGCCTACAAATGATTATCAATCTGAAACATGGTACCCAGATTCTGGAGCTACCAACCATGTTACAAGTGATCTAGACAACCTCAGCATAGCAAGTGAGTACCATGGAGGAAATAGACTTCAAGTAGGAAATGGAACAGGTTTGCCTATTCTTCATACTGGTAGATCAATAATAACTTCTGAGTATCCAAACATAACCAAGAGACCTTTAACTCTCAAAAACCTTTTGCATGTCCCAGAAATAACAAAGAACCTCTTAAGTGTCTCTCATTTTGCTAATGATAATCAAGTATTTTTTGAGTTTCATCCAAGGTTTTGTGTTGTGAAGGATATAGCAACAAGGGAGATCCTCCTCAAAGGGAAGCTTAGTGATGGCCTATACTCCTTCAATCTGCCAAGAGCCTCACCTATTTCCAAGCATCAACCAATGTCCTCAAAGAGAGTTTCTTTTAATTATCCTGTTTCTGCTGGTTTAGTTTCAATAAAGAAGGATGGCCTTGATGTGTGGCATCTCAGAATGGGGCATGCACCTTTGAATATTGTTAAAAGGGCTTTAGACCATTGTAATGTTCCTTATTCTGACTCTAATAAAGAAGAGCTATTGTGTGCAGCCTGTATGAAAGCCAAAAGTACAGTTCTCCCTTTTTCTACCTCATATTCTGAATACCAAGAACCATTAACACTCATTCATAGTGACTTGTGGGGGCCTTCCCCAACTAAATCTAGAAATGGCTTCTCATATTATGTTAGTTTTATAGATCATGCCACGAAGTACACATGGATATACTTCCTTAAGACTAAAGATGAGACCTTGCAGGCTTTCCAGCACTTCAAAAATCTTGTTGAAAACCAATTGAACAAAAAGATTAAAATGGTCCAGACAGATGGAGGAGGAGAATTTCAAGCCTTACAAAGCCTATTTAATGCTAATGGCATTCAACACAGGATCTCTTGTCCCTATACCCCTCAGCAAAATGGTGTTGCTGAGAGAAAGCATAGACACATCATTGAAGTGGGCTTATCTCTTTTGGCTCAGTCTTGTTTGCCTAAGGAGTTTTGGGATGATTCT